GTGAAAATTTTAAAAGATGAAGGGAAAAGAAAACTTACATGGTGTTGGTGATGGATTTTGAGGTGATTGTGGAGGTGGTAGGATGTTGAATGGTGGATGGTGGATGATGTGGAGTGGTGCTTGATCCAACTTGGATGGATTTGAATCAAGGTAGAGGTGGAAATGGCCAAAGGTGGCCGAATGGTGCTGGCCGCGGATCAAGATGTCCCGGCCGCGGTAGGACGTGTGCTGGCCGCGGTTCAATGCTAGCTGGCCGCGGCAAAATGCTTGCTGGCCGCGGCTGAACCTCCTTTGGCCGCGGTCAGCTCTTTTTCTTCCCTTTTTTTTGTTTTTGGCATACTAAAACCTGTCTAAAATAAAAGAAACAAAACTTTAATAGAAAAAGAAAGCTAAACAGAAGCAAATAAGTATCTAAATGGGTTGTCTCCCATCAAGCGCTTTGATTTATAGTCCTTAGCTAGACTTTCAAAGAAAAAGACATAGTTCAAATAGGATCTTGTCCTAAGACAAGTCCTTTTTGAAATCCTCCTGTTCTGTCTTGCAGGTTCTTCATCACTCCAGATTTCTTCTGGTTCAAATGTATGGGCTTTACGCTCTCCTCTTTTGCTCTTAAGTGGTGTAGCTTCATAGAAGATGTCCTCGTCGATATTGGCAAAAGAAACTCTCCTGTTGGGCCAATCCATGATGGCTCCAGCAGTTGCTAAGAAAGGCCATCCAAGGATAACTGGATAAGAGTCATCTTTGGTTTTCACTATGTATAGATCGACATGTGCTATATAATCTCCAATCCTTAGAGGAATGTCTCGGGCTATCCCTCTTAGTGTTGCACTTGAATCATCTGCTAAGCTAATCTTTGTCCTGGTACTTGAAATGTGCTTAATGCCAAGTCTCAAAGCAGTTGCTTTGGACATCATGTTAATGCAAGCTCCAGAATCACAAAGAATATTGAAGAATCTTTTACCTCTAATGTCACAAGAGATAAGAAATTGACATTTGTCTTGAACTTTGTGTAGAGTTCGAACTGGTTTACCTTCTTGGGCGTGTGTGAACAAGTCTTTCATCTCTTGGATAGATTCTTTGCTGTCACGGAAGAAGTGGCCGATCATGTAGTCTCTACATGCTTTGACATATGAAATTCCTTTGGGCAGAGTCTGAACTACTTGATTGAACTCTTCAAGTGCTTCTTTGCTGATCTTATTTGTGTAGTCACTGGCTTTTTGAGGATCTCTGAGATGGATCCTGTAAACAGCTGCATCAGGTGATGATATAGGAAAAGATAGAAACATGGCTCTTCTGAAATAACTGTAGATGTTCTCCTTAGTCTCCTTGCTGTATCTGAAGAAAACTTGAAGGCAGCCTTGCTTCCAGATGTCATCGAACCCATGGTAGAGAGGAATGGACTTCACAAACTTGTTGAATTCGATTGGTCTCTCTCTAGATATGCTCTTGGTTATTGGTTCTATGTTGTCATCAGATGAATCGTCCCTAGGGTTTGGATCTTTACAAATAAACCATACTCTTCATCTTCTGAGAATTGCTCTTGAAGCTCATTGTCACAAGTGTAAACCATGTTGCAAGATGCATAAGTGTTGGATTCCTCATTTTCCTTCGATGCTTGTGCAGTGATTGAGAAGACAGCTTGATCAAACAACCTAGATCTGGTCACAAGAGGTCGGATTTTTTATGAACAGGCTTCAGAAAGAGGTTGGAAGTTCTCCCAATTTGAGAAATCATGCTCCACCGCGGGTGAGGAGCTTGGAGCCGCGGTGGAAGTGGCTCTGGCTGCGGGTGAAGTGCTCGCAGCCGTGGTTAGCTTCCTCCGACTCTCCATGCTTGCTTCTTTAATCTCTTCTTCTCCATTGTTGTTCTCTTGCTTCCAGTGGTTGTCAGATACGTCTTGGGTATCCAAATCATTGATTCTAGAGTTCAGATCATACTCCTTATGATCTTTAGAAAGTTTTTTAACTTTCTCTTCTACTTCATCTAAAGCATAGACAACTTTGTCTAAAGTAGCATCAAGCTCTTCTGTCTTGTTTTCAACCTTTGCTACGCCTTGTCACAGCTCCAATGTGTAGTCGTAGGTCTGGTTTTTGCTCTCATTCAGTTCTTTATCCAAGTCATCGATCTTAAAAGTCAGGGTTTGCAGCTCCCTTTCATTTTGTCGAATGTTGAACTTGTTTTGGTCTTGTTTTTCCCTGACAGACTCTATTCTCTGATCCAACACGTTATTAGCTTTGGTTCTCTGATCCTCCATTGTCTTCACATGCTCAGAGAGGTCATTAAACCTTTTGTTAAGGTTGATGGTTATGTCGTCTATCCTTGTTCGCAGGGCAGCATCGATGAGGGCTTGGGAGGCAAGGAACTGATTCACCTTGGCTTCCAATCGATTAATCAGGATGTTGAGTAGATTGTTCTCATAGTTCTGGTGCAGAATCTGATAAGGAATAGGATGAGGCTGTATCGTCGATGCCGGTGCTCACCTCAGTCTCGCTAACATCTTCATCATCAAGGTCGCTATCAGACTCTACGTCACGAGGTTGGACAACTTTGGTAAGAGATGGTACAGCCGCCATCATAACCAACTGAACAGCATAGAAAAACCCTTTGACCGCAATTGTCTTCTACGATAACTCCAACTCATCCTTTGATTTTATGCTCGACACCAGCAAATCGAAACCGACTCGGCCCAAACGTGTGTAAAGAACTCGTCGATATCCCTAATCAATTCCACATGCTCAGGAATAATCTTGTAATATGAGATGTCGGAACTAACACGGCAGATGTCACCGCAAGGCAGGCACGTTTGAACCTTTTCTCTTTGTCGGGATTTTTTTCTTTGAGAGCATGTGTACGACGGATGCCACTGTGCAGGATTTCAGCAAACCAAATAATTTCGGCCAATATGGTTTTTGAGAAACAAGGTTTTTTTTTGGGAGGGAGGGGGGGCAAGCTTGCCACATTCGAGACCAGTTACAATAACAAACTTGCGGAGAGAAAATCTAATAAGACGGCCAGCGAACAGGAACCACAACTCGTGCTTTTTCTTAACACGCAGAAGTCTTGCAAGCATGTAGAAACCAAAACTGCCGGAGAGAGATGGCATCTCCATTGTCGCTAAAAGCTTCCCCAGTTGTGATCTCGCAGTCTCCTCACTTCATCGTCATCAAGTGCATTAAGGATGAACTGAAGCGTTTTAGAATTCTGGTATGAATTAACCCTCTCCCCTACAGGCTCTGAACCCGCTGTGAAAATTCTTTGAGAGAGACGAAAATTAGAAATTTTGTGAAACCTTATCAATAAAATTAGGAAGATTCAAAGCAAAATCTGGAGCGGAGGAAACAAAGTTGCAGAAATAAACTGTAGCAAAACAAAGAATATCAGAAAAAATTCCAAATATGAAGATTTGAGTAGGTGCGATTCGAAATTTGAAATGAGGAAAAGAGGAACCTCCCCTAAATTTAGTAATTTTGGATTTTTTTATATATGTCTAACTTACCATAAATTACAGAATTTCAAAACATTTATTCAACCATGTAACAGCATATCGGCGTATGTAACGGTAGAATATATTTTAATTTTAAATTTTTATAAATAAAGCCATGTGGTCATTGTTTTTACCAACAATAAATTTATATTTTACTGACACACAATCTTCTCAATAATCGGCATAATCTTTTGGCTAGCCGAATTGGAGAGTGTGGGTAAGATGGTATTAAAAAATGGTACAGTACTCGAATAATGGTTTGGTCATATCCGAAAATTAGGAATTGTAACGGATATATTTTGCACATTATCTTTTATATTTATTATAAATATCTTGTCTTAGTATTAATATTTTGAAAAAATATATATTAAACATCATTTTATAGTATTGATTAATATCATCATATTAAAAACCTTATAAAAGTATTGATTCTGAATGGAGAATTAGTGGTGTGAATATGTGTAATATTAGAACGAAAAATAGTAAAATTATACAATAAGAAAAACAATGGTGTGTATAGTATTATAATTTAATATTACATAGTATTTGATATTTTAATTATATATTCGTACTATACAGAACAACGAAAATTATCATCAATACATAATCTAAAAAAATGAGGACAAGAACTTTTTCAAACAAGTATGATATTTGTACCTGTTAAAAAAATTGGAATGGGTAACCATCAAATTTTATAATTAACTAAATAATTAGAGTTTACGTATTCATTTGGAATTCATGTGTTAATAATTTTAGATATTTTTTCAAAGTTGGGAAGTCTTGGCAAGGGTTAGATTAAATTATAACTGAAAACACCCTGATTTTTGGTTAATAGTCTTCTATATATTTACCTCTATATATCTTAGATATTCATGGTATGACTATTATTCAATTTCTTAGATATTCATAATTTCTTATATATATATATATATATATTTCCTCTATTTTTTAAATATAATCTTATATAGTTTGGCTACATATTATGTTTAATACATTTTTAATTGATCCATACTATTTATATTCTATTATAATTTACATCAAAATTTTGAAGTGAAATTCCTAACATGCTCAATTTTGATCGAGATAAAAAATTATTCTGGTTTATCTCTAACTGAATCTCACTCGGGTAACATGTCCTACATCACAATATGCTCTATTTAGGTCATTCTATAGAGGCAATAATCGTGAATTCTAATACCATATCAAGTTTTATGAATTTCTAACTCAAACCAATTAACAATAGATAGAATAATATGTTTTCCATAAATGCTTAATTTTTTTTCTGTTTTTAATTTTTGTGGCTTGAATATGATTCAAAAAATTTTGAAAGAATAGTTTGTGCACTCCAACAATCAAACGAATAGTTAACTTTTGATTAATTTTCAAAAATTTAAAAACATGGGTTAGTTTCTAAATTATATAATTTTTTTGATTATTAAACTAAAAATATCATATCAGGCTCAGATACTTTATTTTGAACCTGACTCTGAAATACATGTTGTGTAACAACCGAACCATAGGAGAAAAATCAACTCATGTGTATGGGTTTGCACTTCAGTTCTTCGACAAAATTTTCTAATGCAATCCAAGAATCATCGAGCAGTTTACAAGCTAAGGAGACTGAGAGCCAATAAAGCTAGGAAAGGCCAACATAATTGCAGTATGAAGATTGATAAACAGTTGCGTATGGTAAGTGTTTAAATATGGTACAAGCAGAGGAATCCATAAACAAAAACAACACATTATAATTTCTCTACACAAGTTAAAGTTGGTACTCAAGCAAATGGAGATAATGAAGACAAAAACTCTGCAGAGAAAGCCATTTTATCATAACTTGCTAGGGATCACGTCACAGGAAAGTTTGGTCGGCTTTATAAACATGTCCTCAGTCTCTGCTATGAACTTGGCAAACTGAGATCCTTTCTTTTGTTTGTTGTTAACATCTTTGAGTAACTTAGGTAGATTGGGTAGAGACTGATCAGTCTTAGGGTTAGGTTTTGGTGACAGTGATGACATCAATGCCCATATCGATGAGAGTTCTTCATTTGGTTGATCAAGTGTTTGAAGGATTTCAATGTTTTGCATATCTGTTTTTAAGACGGAAACAATGTAAAGCAAAAACTTTTTTGACTCATCTACTCTTTGATTCTGCTCTCATATAATTAAAACAATCCAACAAGATTGGACAAACCTTCTGCAAACTTAAAGATTGGTGCCAAAACTGCACATGGGATATTGAAGTTGAGATGCGGTATTACCGTCCCTGCTCCGTGTCTTGCGTTGCTGCAGAGACAAAATAAATGACATTTATCTTTGAAAAAAGATGACATTAATTTAGAGACAAACACATAGCATCTATCATAACAATCATGCTGCAAGCAAGCAATGAACAATCAACTACAATTCCTGATAAAAGAAAAACTTCAGTGATGTATTAGCTCTGTTTGTTTCTACTGACCCATCTCATACTTGGATGTGAGAGACGTACAAATTATATTTGATAAAGATTTCCTATTACCTAGTAACAAGTCCAATCATATGGCCACTTGAATTGACAACAGCACCACCACTACCACCAGGATGCACGGCAGCTGTTGTTTCGATCATAGCGGGGAGCTCTATGGCTTTTTGCGAAGTAGATTGCGTGTATAATTTTATCTTTGCGTGAACTACTTTTGCTACAACTCCAGAACAAATAGAAGGAGAAAGCCCTAATAACAAAACAAACATGTTAGAAAATAAAACTAACTAACACGGCTTTTCTATCTTCCATTTCCGGACACTTGACACATGTAACGCACAAGAGAATGTAGATTCAGGGTGCGCAATGAAATTAATGCAAGGTTGTGCAAGCACAAAAAATTGATCACAAATTAGATTCAACAAACTAATTTTGGATTGATGACATTTTACCACATCTTGGTCCGAAGAGTCCATGTCCAACAACATGTGCTGATGTACCCAACGCAGGAGAAGAAAAGTTGGCACGAATAGGTTGGAGCTTTCCAGGGACATGTTCTAGCTGCAGTAAGGCAACATCCAATTGTTCCTTGCAAATATAGACCACTTTAGCAGGACACCAAGTCCACGAATCTTGGTGATACAGTCGTACACGTATGTCCCTATTCCCAAACTGAACGAATTTGTGTTTGTATTTCTTGACGTTTTTTCCGATAAACGGATAAAGTTTTGCTGGAGTTTTCCGTGGCAATGTTTGACTCTCATGTTCCCAAAATCTACTTCTTGTGGAAGAAAACTCCTTGGACACTAAGACATAGGGTTTTTGATCTTTGTCGTTGTCTTCACCATATACACCACCTTTTCCAAACCTCCACGGCTCAAGCAGGTGCGCATTTGTTAGTATGAGACCATGTTCGTTAAGAATAACACCGGATGCCCAGACACCATCGTTGACAGTAATAAGGCAAATTGATTTCGCCGCTTTCTCAACAGCCACTTGTGCAGGCATACTAGCATTTGGTTTAATACTTAAGACTTCACTCCCCCAATGACTTGCTTTCCTTTCATCAGATGGTTCCTCAAGCAGCAAGTGGTTGCAAGCATTTGTGATTGCTCCCCATGGAACCACCAGCTGCTAATGAAGGACACAATTTTGCATGAAACATTACGATAAAACTTCAATGGCCATAAATGAAATGAAGCATGCGTTAGACAAACCTGAATTTCAACGCCACTATTCTTTTGCCTAATTGGTCTAATCAAAACACCAATTAAGTGCCCATTCTTATCAAACACCGGAGCCCCTTCCATTCCTGAAAGAAAATGAACAAAAAGGGACAATTTTGAGCTACTTCAGATGAAACAAATAAAAAATATATAAGAACCACTGAGAATTTGTACACACCAGGGAGACATCGAACATCAGCTATCATCAGTGACTTCTTTAGTGATCTAGAAGGATAGCAGTTCGCAATGGAGCCAGTTGATACACTATTTTAAACCAGTTTAGATTCCCAGAGTTAAATGCTGACACTATTGAGAGAATGGAAATCATGATGATCTATAATCGATTAAAATGCAGCAACGCTAGTCTAGCCATTATTCACCTATTAAAAAAGTGTACGGGTGAAAGGATTCCAAAAGGAGAGCCAAGTGTTATAAGTGTATCACCCTTGCTAATTGAGGTAGCGAGATTTATGTTTGGCTGGCCCTGATTCATATTGCATCACAAAGCATAGTATATAATGGTCAGACATGAAGGGAAAGATACGGTAACAATAAGATGAATTATAAGTCAAAAAGAAAGACATGGGGAGGAAAATAGAGAAATAGTTACCAATAAACTTAAAGAGACTCCTAGAAGAGCCATTCGAGTGGCAGACTTGGCCATAAACTTAGCATCATGTGACTCATCAAGTTGCATCAAGGGCTTGCTGTGATGTTCAATCTGGAAAAAATATATAGAAAATTGAATCTCAGAAGTAGACAGAAAATTTCCATGTCGAAGAAGGAAATAAAAACATGCATCATCTATTTTGTTTACTCGAGCAATTACAGCCAGAAATTCGAATGATCACAATGCACATTGATTGGTTTGCATTTTAACTTACATTGCTTGAAGGTTGAGAACCATTACCAGCAGAGACCAACGACCAACCAACATCCCATCCAGAATCTTTTGAACCCAAAGAAGTTTCAATAAGAGATTGGAGTATAGCAGAAGATACAGGGACATCAACCTTGTAACATAATACTTAAATCAAATCAGCACAAAAAAAGAAGTGTTCATGCCGTACAAAAGGGGATACAGCATTCCCAGATAATCTCAAAAGCTATTGCATGGCTTCATTAATCATTATTCACAAGGAGGTTTCGAGAGTCACTTCTTATAACAAGAAAGAAGAGAAATTTCACCCATACCAGCGAAAGAAGTTGTGCAGGAACCCAAAAAGGATCTTCTTTGGCCGAGTTTAACTGATCCTGAAAAGAATAAAATCATACCTTAAAAACTCCACACAACTTACCATTCAACATAAAACTATTCTTCAATACTATCCACATACCTCCACCAGAATCTCAATTCGAGCACCAGTGATCAATTTCACCGGATCCTTTACAAAAGAAAAGACACCAAAATTGAAGTTCAAACACATCAAGCAAAACTATGTATCATTGATAGCGAATTCAAGTCAACCTGAGAGATACTAGCTCTATGCCCCAACGTTAAGAATGGTTCTACAAGAGATGCAACAGTCAAAACCAGCGACATGTCCTGACCAGCTTCAGACATAAGCTTACTAGCTGCAACCTCGCCATTTAACATATTTTTTGGAAACAACATCCCAGAAGCTGAAAGTGTTGTATTGCCAGAACTTCAAGAACATACAAAATCTTTTAGCCACATTGATTTTTCAAAAATAGAAACAAAAATTCAAAGTTAGAATATCTTCAATCCTTATGCTCACTCGTATTGATGAAAAGCATGTTTCCTCATCTTCAATCCTTTTGGATCCTAAATTAAAACACATAATCAATCATCAACACATGTATGGTTTTAGATTTGTGTACTTAGATTTAACATGAGACATCATTTGAATATACAAATTGGGTGAGAGGGATAAGTGCTTACAGGGCCTTGGACTTTGACCAAGACGGTAAATTTCCTAGAAAAACTGACAACTTCGGATAAATCCATGATCGAAAGAGAATGGTTTTTCAATCGGAAGAAGGTAAAGATCAGATTCCGTGGCAATGTACAGCGAACTCACCAAAATTGGTTTTGAGTTTGGATTTTGGCTACAGTTTGGACCACCGAAATTGGTTTTGAGTTTGGATTTTGGCTACAGTTTGGACCATCAAACACCAATTTCAATTAATCGGCCAACAGGCACGTATTGGAGGCAAACTGCCGCAATTTTGAGGCTAGACGGTGGTCAGCTTAGGCGTACAACCAATTTTCTCCCAAAAATCGGTGACTTATTTAAAAATGGAGGCTTTATTAATATTACTCGGGCCCAATATCAGGCCCAACTTGAGTCGACGGTGCACAGAACTTGCTACTGACCCACAAAATGGGTGGAAAATTTGAACATGTGTAGAGGATGAAGACTCCTATTTATAGTGCAGCTTCCCCTTCTCAATTATCCAAGCTTGTCGATGTGGGACAACTCAAAAGACCTACTTTCAAAAAAAATGTCAAAATTTACTTTTGGTGTAGTATCAAGCGGTCGAAACTTTGAGTGGCTATAGTTCGAAAAGCCAATGCTTTGACCAAAAAATGTAACAACAATCATTTTTTTTTCCTTTCTTATACAAAAACGATACTTATACATGTAGCAACAGACACTTCTTTTTTTAGTACAGACTTAAAACTTGCTTGAATCTGCCATTCAATGAAACGTATATAAGAAAACAAAAGACAGAGATACAACCCCAACACTAAATCCACCCCAGAAACTTTGCTAAAAAACTGCACAATGACAGGGTGAATAAAAGCTTTGAGCTGTCTCTATATACATTACATGTGAATTATATATAATCAAATGAAAGAATCATATGAGAGAATTAAACTGGATATGGTATAATCAAATATAGCTTCTGTAATTCAAGCTAAAAAGCTTTTGCTTTTTTGTCCTCAAGAATCAGTCTCCTTGGTTGCACCATTGGTCAGGGACACACAAGAAATGTGTCTTCATGAACTTCCTGAACCTCGTCTTGTAATCAATCGGGCTAATCACTGTCGGCTGCACATTCTTTGGAACCACCAAAGACGATTTCACCCAAGTCTCTAACTGCTTGTCCCATGTGTATTGCCTCAAGTAGTCAATGATCCCACACACTAGCTCATGACTTTCATCGTCTACTCCAACCAGCAACGAATAGTCCATCACGTTTATACTCTGCGTTTACAATAAGTGGATTGTGTAAGACAATATAAACTGAACATATATGTGGCATGAGATACACAGAGAACGAGAGAGAGAGAGAAAATGAGAAAACTCACGGTGAGAAAACTGGTGTCGTTATAAACCGCTCTTTGGAGATTTTGTTTTGATGTTTTGCTAACGTAAAGCGGGGATTTGTTCATGTCGTTGACGAAGTTCTGATCCAAGAGAACATCTTCTGCGCCATTAGCAGAAGTGGCGGTGAACCGAGCGTGTAGAGCACCTTTGAGATCATACTGGCGAGTAATTTTACTGCCAAAGCTGAGATTCTCCATGACCATCAAGTCATGCCGTATCTCTTTCCCGCTCTTTGGTTGCCTTACAGTTACCTGAAAACAGCGATCAAAGATTCTTCAAACTAAGGCAAAATTGCTAATGGTTGAATGGTCAAAAAGATGATTCTAAAGACATTATTACCTGATGGATCCCAAGAACTTTGGCAAGACAAGTCTGGTTGCCTAGATCGTATGAGTCCCTCATGTATTTGAAATACTCTGGAGCAAACTTCACAAATGATTCGTATTCTGTTTTCTTGATCTCTTTTACGATGAACCTATCATCCAGAGTCTTAGCGAACACGGATTTGCTCTTCCCACCTTTAGCATCCCACGGCTTACAGCGGCTAAGTGAAGCTATGTAATCAAGCTCTGAGGAGCAGCAACGCTTTCTTAGGTCACGGAAATCATCTGCATATAGGCACACAATCGAGTATTTGGGTTTCCCAACTGATTTGAGTGACCCAAAAGTAACGAGGACCTCTGGAGGAGGAAGTGTTTCCAACCGATTTGTAGTCTCACTCGAGAAACGGGATACCTCACGGTCAAAAGTTTGCTTATGTTCTTGATCTTTATCCAAGAAACCTTCAAGAGATCCATGTATGCACCTTGAAAGAGGCGATCTGTTCTCAGCATTGTTCAGATGGGCAAGTGCGCAAGCAATTAGGCTCGAGAGCTCGTCTTCATAGTCTGACACGATAAATTCATCATCTCTCAAAGAGATGCGTAGACGAGAGCCTTCCTCAGTGATTATCTGGTTCACCGTCTGAAGGTTTTCTTGGGTAAAATTATTAACATACTCGTATTTCAACAAGTATTCCTTCTCAATGTCGACAATGGGCTTCGAGCGTACCTCTTCATATGGTAGCCAAAACCATTCATCCCAACCTAAGATGTGTGATCCATTAGAGGCAGCAACCTCACCATCCAGTGAATCTCCAGTAACGGGAATTGATTTGTCCGCTTCTTGTTCATTGGTTGAATGGATATTAACAGCCAAATGAGTGTCAAAATGATCGTTGATGGGAGAGGTTGTGTCGGGTCTCGAGCTGGACAGAGTTTGCGATTCATTGTCTTCAGGCACATCAGATTCTTCCGTCTGATCATTGTCCCCAACAAGCACATCAAAGATTGGTATTTCTTTGCTTTTAACATATGGACCGTCCATGCCTCCATTGCTAACAGAATCAGAAACTTTGTCATTATTTTCATATCTGGTCATTCCAGCCTCGGAGATGATTTTCACACCTTCTTCATTTCCCTTCTTGTCACCACTTGAAGGTAGCAAACGATCAGACAAAACCAGCGACTGCAACCGGTAGTTCCAGATGAGAGCTTGAAGCAAAAGTTCCCACCTCATGCGGTTTAAGCGGAGCAGTTTGTGCGAAACATCATCTATGGTTTTAGACTTGTCAAAAGATATCTTGATGCTTTCCTATTTTTAGGCAATAGCATGTCCAAAAAGGATATTATTACATATTAATATGCTTGGCTCATGAACTTTTCACAAGAATATTTGTAAACCAGAAGCAGTTGTTGCAAAGCTAACCTCAAATCCGCAACGCTCGTGCTTCAGCAACTCCTCGATGTTAGAAAGCAATTTGAGTGCACACTGATAGCTGAGATCTGAATTTTTGAACTGTGATTTTAGTCTCTTCAGAAAACTAGCAGCGTCCTCGAACAAGGAGATCCCTTTAGTGAATACCTGAACAAGAATAGAATCAATCAGCACAAATCATCTTGAGTCTTCTTTTCACAATTTTAGGCCAGCTCTCTTACCAAGCAATACATAACATGTTGAAATACAGTTTTACTCAGAAAAGAAACTTACTTTTTGGAATTCTTTCTCCAGCCAACCCACTTTTATCAAAATGCTAGCCTCCAGCTTCATGGGTGGCAGAGCTATTGTGTAAGGCTTGACTTGGGAGTAACTAAGCATAGCAACCATGGAGCCTAATCTGCAGTTATTTACAAGTTTCAAAATATATTATTAGATGCATAATCTGTGTTACATAGTTCCACTATCATTCATTACTTTTACGTTGCACCACTATAACCAAGAAAGAGCCTTCCATTTCCAGAGAATTAAGCCTTAAACTAATAACGTTTGGTATAAACTAACCTTAGTCCCAGGCTATTCTCCTGTGATAACTGGATGTCACTATTTCGAAAGTCCAGATTATAGAGTAACTTAAGTCGTACTGAACTACTTGCTTAGAATATGTGAAACTACAGGCAGAGCAAGATAGAGCAAAAACATACCCAAAGAAGTGCAGGAAGTCCCTGTCGAAAGAGTGCCCACAGCTACACAATCTATTCAGAAAAGTTTGCTGAGTAAAGCTGAGCTCCAAAAACTTTCCAAATGACAAGCTACGAGCAGCAGTCGATATCAGCACTCGTTTTGTGGATTTCCGGGTCCCATTCTTTGTTTTACACTTTCCGCAACGACTCCACATCCAGATTTTTCCTTTTGCCTCACCAGACAAACATTTTGCTACAGGAATTCGCTTGATTTGTATTGTTAGTTGCTTGTTGTGATGGGCGTAATAGTAAAGATGTGCTTCCGGAAATTCCTCGCACGTTTGGCATCGGCTTCTCTGCATCATGAATCACGAAAATAATGTTGTAGCGCCATTCAACTTTCAGCTTATTAACATAACAAACACACATTAACCAGCATTTTATAAAAAGAAAATGACAAGGGAACTAGTGTCAAACCTGATTAAACATATCTCGCAGGAATCTTTCCAAGGGAACATCGAAGTGCTTGTAAAACTTTATGTGCGAAAAGTGACTTTGGTCACACATTATTCCCCTTCGGGCATTCCTCTTCGACACTAAAACCAATATACTCTGAGACTCCAAGGTGGTCTCAATATCAGTCTCCGTTTGTGACCTGTCTCCATCATCTGAATTCGTGGTCACCGGAAGCCCTGGGTCAATAAACAAAGGTTGTTTATTTTCATCCTTTTCTGCAGCATCTTCCCCAGATTCCCTTATCGAATCAAGATAGCTGATGTTCGATATATCTGTATCCACAGAAATTGGAACTGATTCCGGAATAGGAACAAATCCTAAATATTTACTTATTTTGGCAGATAAAGATGAGAACCCAGTAAAGATAACTGGATTATATGGCTCGTGAGAGAAGACATGATCTCCATCTGATTCCAAGGTTTCTGCTTTCTCACCATCTGTTTCCCCGTCTATCTGAATAGATTGTTCATCGAATTCACTAGATAAAGGAATATCAACTGCTTCAAAAGCAGATCCGCGAGGAGAAGGAGATAGTGGAAATTTTTCTGTTTCAGCAACACATGATGTCGCTTCCTTTGTAAAGATGGTTGAGTACATTGTTTGCCGATCAGCGAGGAAAGAAGCCTCCAGGATTAGACGATAAGCCAGGATAAAAGAATATTGCACTACTTCTTTGACTTTTTTCAACCTCTCGCTGTGGCTTCCTTTAAGTAAAATCTGCCACATATCACAATTCACAATGCTAAAATCAGATAATCAGCGGTAAACTGCAGGAAAGTCTATATTCAATGTCACGAATTTAAATTTTGAAAGATTTCATCAGTTGACTGGGGATAAGAATTTCATACCGTGGAAATTATCCACGATCATGTGATTTAATGATTTTATTTTTACTAAAGTAGTATTCATTACTGATCATACTCCACAATCAATAAAGAACTCACCGTGCAGCCAAGGCGGGTAGGACAACCCTCTAAGAACATCAGTGTTTTAGTTGGCTTCTTCTCGGCTTCACTCACTGCATTATGCTCCTCGACAATTTTCTCAATGCGAAAAGAATCACAATGCTTTAACTTCTGACTAGGCAGAGAGTCAAATGAGAAAATTGGTGAACCAATGCAGCGAGAAATTCTCTGTAGCCGGTGGAGCTTCATGTCAAACACCAGAGTGACCCCTTTGTCAAGAATAGACAATTGGATATCACGTGAAACGGACTTTTCCACCAGCATAACGTCAGGCTTGGAAGCTTCTATGATAGCAACAACAGGGGCCACATACTCCTCGTCCTGTTGGCAATTAAAAATCAGAAAATTACCATATGAAAGCTTTCAAAATGGTGATTGCCAAATTATGTTACTCCCCCACCTTGCCCATTGATTTTAACGAAGAAAAACCACTTAATGGTTGGCCCAGTACTCCTTCGACTAACATTATTCTAGGACGCTCATACTTGGTTGCCATGTGTTTAAGAGCAGCATGTTTTTTGAAAACCAGGCCTTTGAAAACTTCACTGCAGAAATGAACAATCATTAAGAGAATACAGTAGATGGAAACTGAATAAAAGATCATGTGTAGTTTTTTATGAAATAAAACAGTAATATGCGGATTTTTCTAACTCTTCTTACGGATCCGAGAACCTCAAACAATGCAAAGTCTAAGTAGTTTGTAATACCTTTCATTACAAGAACCAGTTGCTATGCATTTCACTTTGATGTACTCAGTCGGGTCAACTTGTTTGCCAGTCATAGCTGGCTTCAGTAGTGAAGCAGCCTCCCAGCATAACCTAGTTATTATCTCGATCCAATTTTCACCTTCTTCCATAGAAAACCCAGCAGGCTTAATTAGTTGACTCACAATGAACTTAAACTTCAAATCTGCATCATCAAGCATAGCTCTTCGAATCTCTTCATATGACTTTCTCTTTTCACTACTTTCCCCTAAAGAACTCGATTTGTTCCACTTAGAGCCATCACAGCATTCATCGTCATCATCATCTTCCACATCGGCAACACTTCCTTCTACTTCATCTTCAGAGTTTTCCGGTTCAGGGGGTTCCCACATTGGAGCATCCATTTCAGCACTGTCATCTTCACGATCAGATAAGAATTGTACGTCCTCAACACCGTTTTCTTTCGATTTCTCGCCCAAGATTTCTATATCCCTTTGAATGTCACTCGGCATGCTCTTGGACTTGCGCTCTAAGTTATATTGCCAATCTACCTTCTTCTCCTTTTGCGTGGAGTCCACCTCATCTTGACTACCATGACTTGAACATTCATCTTCATTACCCCTGGCAGAGAGACAGAGAGCGAAACGCATATCAAGAATTTTGATTTAATATACTGTTTTCATAACCATTATCAAATCCAAAACTCAAGGTCATATCAGCTTTATACCTTTCATAAGAGTTTCCATCAACTGAACACTCCCCTGCCAAAAAGATTATATAAAGATATGATTTAGATAACCATTAAATCGCATGATATTATTACAGAGCAAGAAATCAAATATAGCCAACAAATACCTGAGAGAGAGCGCTCACTTCCAGACAAGGAATTAGTAGTCGTCATCAATGGAGTCTCTAAAACCAAGTCTTTGCTTCCTCGATGTGAAATCTTACAAAGATGAAGTCACACGCTCACACCCACACACTCCAATCTCAGAGTATATTTGATGTCTTTTCTATCATTCTCCGTTTTTACCAACAGCACGAGAAAGTAGTCACCACCTACCTGAGTCAAAGAAGAAGCGTAAATTAACATCTACGCCATATAAATATTTAATGAAAAATCCAGAAATGGAAAAACAAAGATATCGACCGATGGAGATATGATTTTCGAGCATGTCAAAATTAAAGGACGGAGAAAATTTGCGAAGATCTAGGGATTTAGGATTAAAAGAAAAAAAATCCATCCAGATTTTGGATTTTTGTCAACAGCTGTACAGGGAAGTAATGGAGAAGATGAGAGAAAATCAATTTCCGCGATCCACGACCCGAATCGGAGGGAAAATTTTGAAGTGGAACAAGGAATCAACAGTGAAAATGATTTCAAAAATTGCAGTTTAATCTTCACAATCACCGGAAAACAACGGAGATCATCCGTTAAAGTAAGATTTTCGAGTCAAATCTCAAGAGAAACAAAGAAGGCGAAGAAAAAGCAGAAAATCCAGAAAAGAATAACTCACCGCGAAAGCAAAAGTGATTTTCCAGAGAGGTTTGGGTCTGTTATGAGCTTGAATAAACCCCAAAGAAATTGCAGATTCGTTTGTTGCCTTTGAGTGTAAAACGAAGCGAGAGAGAAGAGAGAGAGAAGAGAGAGAGAGAGAGAGAGAGAGAGAGAGAGAGAGAGAGAAGGAGATTGATTTGTTCTTCACACCAAAAAATGAAACGAGTCCACGAAGAGTTTTGTCGACGGTGGAGAGAAAGAATGGAGACGAAGTTTGAAGAAAGGGAAGGAGAATATTTCAATTTATTTAAACCAGTGGGCTCCACTTCTTTATCTACCGTCTCTTAAAAAATAGTCGATTGTTTGTATTTTCTTTTTAAAGAATAAATTTCATTTTCATTTTGACATTTTATTTTGTTTGATTTTGTTCTCTATTTTTTTTTATTCTGGTCTCGACAGTTAAAATCTTGCTTCCATATGTGAAAAGACATGACAATTATACTAGGTGATTTATCTGCTCCAAGTGAGGACGATATTATTATTTAAATTAATATAATCTTAACTATGTAATACTTTATGTTTTTTATTAATAGACTTTTCAGAATTTTCACACATATTAAAAAAAATAATTCATTTTAACTGAACTAATGCTCTAAAAGTCTTATAATATTTACTGTTAATTGAAAGAATGATTTTTAAAAAAAAAAAAATCTACTTTGTATTTGAAATATTTTAACTTTAATATATGTTTTAGAGGTGTTTCTAAGTTAAAAATACAAAAATTCAAACCTTATAATTTTAAGTGAAACTGCTTTAATTAAAAATTATAACAAATTCTCTAATTTTATTTAAAATCATTAAAACTTAAATCACTTATTTTTTTATTGGTTCCATAAATCTGTACTCTTAGAGACTTATCAATTTTCTTAAAAAACTTATTGTGTGAAAATATCTATTTTAAGATATAGGATATGATTTAGAAAATATAATTGAGTTTTAAAATATTTTATAATGAATTTCTAAGAAATGTAAGTATATACGAGTATTTGAAATTACAAAAATAATTATCACATATTATATATATAAGAAAATTAAAATATACATGGCTATTTAATTTTATTTATTACAAATATTTTATTATTGGTTTCATAATTTTTTATTTGGCCATTAATATTTAGTAATTAACAGTATATTGTCTTTTTATATTTTTCACGAAAAAAACTGCAAAACAGAAAAAGAATGTACAGAAGATAGTATTGTTTTTCTTTTTATGTAATACATAAAATTTAGGAAAGTAATAATTAGTTTGCGTAGAAAAAATAAAGACTAAACGACAAAATAATTTTTAAAAATGATGAAAAACGTTTTCTGAAAACAAAATACTAGTCAAAATCTGGTCAGAAGCTCACGCAAAAAAGATGATTTAGTCGGATTAACATGAAAAGTTAGTATGTACAATGCATATGCTGGTGTGTGATACGTTATCTTTTCGAATGACATGCTTTTTTAGTGTGATTTTTATAAATGAATATTTCATTTTTTATTTTTTACAATAGAATACTATGATATATTGGTCTATTGTGTTTTTAGTTCGATTTCTAGTAAAAGTGATATTTTACGCCATGTTATTTAAGACCATGTCTATTGAAGACCCTAAAGCTTTTGGATATGGATTGTTTAATTATTTATTGGGTTAAAAAAAAAAGGAAGCTCAAATTGTTTATGGTCGACCCTTCTACAAGGGATTTTAGGGTCGATCCACAGAAGGATCTTAGGCGACGTGTCAAAAAATTATTGGATGGAGCAAAAAAATCTTTCTCACTTGTGTGAAGTCAAAAATTCAGCCGATACTATCTCTAAAATAATCTTTCTCACTCGTGTGGACTAAGAGTTTCTTAGTTTTTTTAGATCAACAAAAATTATTATAATAATCTTAAAATCCCAAAATAAATCTCTCTAATGTACATGCTCTAATATTAGTAAATTAAAGGCTTATTGTGTGCCATGGAAGACGATTGAAGCCTACGCCTGAAACCTAGCTTCCTAGTTAACCAAAAAAGAAGAAAAACATGTAACAGTAAATCCAAAACTCATCTTTCAAATTACACTTTACAAAAGTCATCATTTTCATAATTATCTCTATATTTAATATGGTTCTTGTAATAGCTCATTCTTTTAAGCTGTAACATGATATACAGAAACAACGTGTTACATTAAAACATAACTAGTATTTAAAACTTTCATAAGTATTATGTTAAATACTTTCATAAGTATTCATAACTTGCATAGTTAGGTTTTGTGATGATTTTGTAAGCCTTTGCGACGATTCTATACTCTAATTTCTTGCAAAATTCACACCAAATGTCCCATATATTTCAGTTGATATGAATATGAATGGAGTCTTGATTGATGATCATAAAAGCGTATTTGGACATCAAGATGGCCATAATTTAATGTTTATCAGGTTTCATCCATAAATATAAAAACAATTATATGTAACATGAACTTTGTCATACAAATGTTTCTTACTAACATATAGGTTAAGCGTTAGCTTACAAACCCTAAACTATACAACTGAAAAAAAAGAGTTCCTAACTAAAAATAATCAGAAAGATTAACTATACAGTGTATACAATAGTTTCATCAAATAGAATAAAAACAAAATTCCTTAAACTTTCATAGTATATCATATTGCGACAATTTTGCAACTCATATACCATAGTCTTCCAATTTAAATTTTGCAACAACTCTGCAAGGAATTATTGCAAAGTTTAAAATTTTCAAGATTTTGTTAAATGATTCAATTCTTAAAGTCGTCACAGAATTTTTCTGTATGTTTTATAAATGGAAAATAAAATATTAATGGGGAAATTTTGTGATGATTTTAGTCTCAAATTTCTTATAAAAAATGGGAATTTTCTTTACATCGAATCACATCTTTGGATACTCTATTTTCTAGATTTTGAGGATCAAATGTAGAAGGATCAAACTCTTTGCACATTTTTGTAAGCAACCCTTTTTATAAATAAAGAAAAACCCATGATAAGCCTGAAGTTGGCTAATTCAGGATCTTCATTGGCTCCACTTTAGTCATAGTTCATCTTGCATTGGAATCACCCATCGATAACATATTGTGATTATATTGATCTCCAATCATATCCTTTATATAATCTTTCTATGCAAATAACAATGTCTTGATCTCAAATCGCTGTAAACATTCTGATTTTATTAGCTTTCCTTTCCTTAAAATCAGATACAACGTATTTTTCATGGGCAATGATATGCGTTGTACGATATCTTCTAAAATAAAAATAATATCGATTGTAAATCAAAACGAGAATCCTATATCCAAAAAGCCATCACTGATAATTCGTCTAGCTAGTCAATTTAATTTTTTAAATTCTAAAACTTTACATGTTTTTATCTTGGGAAAGGTAATATTATTATATAGTTTTTGATATTGAACTATAGTTTTTTATCTTATATATTTTACGATTAAACACAACATAAATTTTGTATCTTCAAATTTTATTCTATTGAGCAATCATTCATTCATAGCAATCCAATAAAATAACGCCAATCACTCTTTAGTTCTGTGTCAACAATAAAATCAATCATTCATCAAGTGATTTGTCATTTGTGCAAATACCGGTTTGAAGGAAAACGACCATGATCCTCTGCGGAAGGAATGTTCTTAGCTGGTCCTCTGAAATCTCGCCACGTAGCTTATCTCGGATGGTTTCTGGGATTTTAAGCGGGAGAAGAAGAACACGACACCCTATCAATTTAACACGTGGTAGGCTGATGCATGAACATCTTCTTCTTCTTTTTTTTTTCTCATAACAACTGAATATCATTACGATGTTAAAGAATTCAAAATCATTATTTCATAATGACTAAATAATTAAAAAGCACATACACAAATCAAGAATACTGATTAAATTCTATTAAAAAAATATAGAATATAAACCCTAGATTCAGAATTCAATATCAAATAACAAAAATGAAGATTAATACAGAAAAAAAAATAATAAATAACTCATGAAAAAACAACAAAAACAACGATATATTTATGATACTTGCTGTAAAATTCTTCCATTTGAATGAAAGTCACAAATTTTTTCTTTTTTGAAGTTATCCGTTGTCTTGCAAAGAGAAGGCTTGTATTTGTATTGTATTATTTAACCAAAAAAAAAAGAGAGAAGGCTTGTGTTTATTAAAGATATCTGGTAGTATATAAGATAGAACGAATATCGATTGAGTCAGATCACTATAAAGCATGTGAGTGTTAATTCACTTACTTAGGGGGTGTTACGGGGTGTTATTGGAGAGTTGATTTATAAAGATTTTTAGAATTTAAGATTCTATAGTTATTGGTTTGTAGATTTTACATTCTTAATAGATTACTCTGATATTCATTTAGAGATTATAAAAATCAGTTGTTATTGATATGATGATTTTTATAATCTAATCAAAATCCATTGTTATTCAAAAAGTCTGCATTTTAATGATTCTATGATTCTGTTATAATCTAGTGTTATTGGCATAATGATTTTTTATAATTTAATTCATAAATTATGATTCTCAAAATACTACCTATATCTTTTAGATTCTCAAAATCTGTCATATTAAAAAATTCTTAATAGATTGTTTAAATCCATAAAACTCTCTTTAAATTTTATAAATCCAACAAAACTTTTAAAAATTTGACAAATCTCATAATTTTTAAAATCAACTAAAATCTTCATAAATCTAACTCCCAATACCCCTTTACTTTGTTTTAATTACTAGTTAGCCGATAAATTTATGATGAAGTATGTAAAGGCGGGAAGCAAAAGCACGCAGAATAGTCATACTTATTTATCCATTGTTCATAGTCTTTCTCGTACATTTTTTCTTTTTGAGATATATATATATATATATATATATAAATAAGATATTAAATTAATATTTTCTCTTCATTTCACGTGTAAATACAAAGAAACTAGTTTTAAGTTTGAAACTCTCACGTGAGTAAATTTGATTTAGATATTTATAGTAATATTAAAAAGTCTAGTCTTCTCAATGATACCTCGAATCCTCTTGAGAATAAGAGAATTTACTTGACTTAGATCATGATCGGGGAGCGGGTTAAACGTTATATACGCCTTGATCGTTTAATCACACAAACTTCTAATCCCACTTAGCCTAGATAATAAGCAGGTATCGGCAAACTCCAATACTTGAGCATTTGTAGAAATGCA